CTGTAGCGGCGACAGCAACGACTACACGACAACGATGGCGACGAACTACCCAACTGGTCGTAAGCTCAAGTTTGGCAGCGTTTAAAATAACTTTTTCCGTCTGCTTTCGATTCAATTTCGTGGATTTTTTATTAAGCAAAATGGGAAGAAACAAACACTAAAATATATAGCGCGTTTGTCCACCCTTCCGATCGTAATTGTTCTACTTATTTGTTATTTACTTTTGCTTTGCCCAAATCCACTGTCAAAGCCGCGAATTCCAACATTAATTCAATATTTTTTTTTGTTTACTACTTTCTTGCTTTTGCTGATAAAAAAAGAAAACCAGAGAATTCTATATGCAAAGGAACAAATGTGTCGGTTACTGCGGTAGGCGTACGCGTATTAATTATTTGATAATAATAAAATTACAATTTGAACAAGTCGCTGTGTATTGCACGAGTCAATTGAGCCGTTGTGTTTGCGCTCTTTCACAGTTTTTTATTATTTAGTTTGCTGATTACTTTTCGTTTGCGCTCCGTAGCGATCCGGCGTCAAGCACTTAACACACGAACAGTACGGGCTAGAAGGCTGGACTGATGTGGAGCTAAGCTGCCTAACGCCATCGCCTAATAACGCCGCCACATTAGGTCGCCGTTTGCTAGTGTGTATGCACAAGAGAGGCGACGCCGTACACAAGACAACACAACATTCCTCTGACCGCTGGAATCATTAAGCATATCCAGATATGACGATCAGTTGGCTTCAATAAAAAGAAAATACAGATCAGCTGTGTGCTTTGACGAGCTTTTATATCGTCAAAGTCGTGCGTGTTGGAAAGAGTTAACTGTAATTATGGGTAGACAAATTAGTAATGCTTTTCGTATTCGCAAATTATGTAAGCAATGCTTCAAACCGGTTGAGAGCGAAGACACATACCACTTGCGGAAACTCATTTTCGCACTTCCTTATACGTTAGAGACTCATGACTCATGAGCGTTGTTATTAAATTGTTTAAAGTAGATAAATCTCTAAAATTAGAAACATGTTTTACTCATAGAAAAACACTAATAATGAAGGGCAGAGTTCTAGGGCACTGCCGAACGTATACTTTCGAAATATTATATTAGGTCTAGTAAAACGAAATACATTACTTTTGCATTAAATTAAAGGTTTTATTTAGTATAGGTAGAATGAATCGATATGCGATTATAATGCACCATTTTGTTCCATAACTTGTTGCCATTTCGAATGTAATTTCATAATGCAAGTCTCATAGAAAGCCTTGTGCCTATTGAGAAAAAACTGGCCCAGTCGATTTTCTTAACTTTACCTTGGGTCTAGTTCGGAGCTTGTGGCGAGTTACTATCGATATATGTGACCGGCGTCCTTCTTTCTGACGGTCCATTTGTTGACAGTACAGATTTGAATTAAGTGTTTGGTCGCTTGGGAGTAGCTCACGGTAGGTAATTTCATGTCAATCTTACCAAACTTTGCCGGATATCCTAGTTTTGTAAGTAAAATCCATTGCTCCAGAAATAGATCAAAGGGGTTGCTATTCAGCAGTAAATCGGAGATACATATTTGGCCCTTGAAATTTGCGATAACTCGTGTGGAACCTATACGTGGAACTACTTTTGTATCCAGCTTTATAGATTTTGGACAATTTTTATTCTATTATACAATTTGCTACATGACGGTCAGACTCAATCATTTTTATAATTTAAACAACATTTTCTAAAATTAACCTTGCAGAGCGGCGTCCACCCCTGATATCAAAATAATTTATATGGAATCTTCTTCTTCTTCTTCTTAATTGGCGTAGACACCGCTTACGCGATTATAGCCGAGTTAACAACGGCGCGCCAGTCGTTTCTTCTTTTCGCTACGTGGCGTCAATTGGATATTCCAAGCGTAGCCAGGTCCTTCTCCACCTAGTCCTTCCAACGGAGTGGAGGTCTTCCTCTTCCTCTGCTTTAACCGGCCGGTGCAGCGTCGAATACTTCCAGAGCTGGAGTGTTTTCGTCCATTCGGACAACATGACCTAGCCAGCGTAGCCGCTGTTTTTTAATTCGCTGAACTATGTCAATGTCGTCATATAGTATATCTCRTACAGCTCATCGTTCCATCGAATGCGATATTCGTCGTGGCCAACGCCCAAAGGACTATACATCTTTCGCAGAACTTTTCTCTCTATTCACCATATAGCAGGTTATCTGTAGTACTAGACTAAAAGATACATAGATGGCTGTCTCCGGATCAAAAAACCACCAACCAGATCGATCATGTTGTGATAGACTGAAGACACGGACCACTATCTTGTTACAGCCAAGATTCGCACCCGCCTCTATGCAGTAAAAAACACACGCCATCAAATATCTGAGCGCACTCGTCAACAACTCGGCATAAGGGAATTGCAAACCATTGGTTTTCGGAAAGTGCAAAAGAACAGCTGGTACGACGAGGAGTACCGTGTCGCAGCGGAGAAAAAAAAGGCTGCCTACCTCGCAACGTTACGATCGACCACAACAAGTGCGGGATGGGATAGATACTGAGAGTTGAAGAGGGAAGCGAGACGCATTTGCAGACAGAAAAAGAAAGAGGCCGAAATGAGTGAGTACGAAGAGCTTCATAAGCTGGCCGACAGAGGTTATGCTCGAAAATTCTACGAAAAAATTCGGCGGCTTACAGAAAGTTTCAAGACCGGAGCATACATAAAGGTGATCTGGTCACCGATGCCCAGAGCATACATAAATTATGCAGGGAACACTTCTCCAGTCTGCTGAATGGCAGTGAAAGCACAACCTCAGGAGAAGGTGAACCCGTTTCCCCAATCGATGACGATGGAGCAGACGTTCCATTGCCCGGCCAGGAAGAAGTTCGAATAGCAATAACCCGTCTGAAGAACAACAAAGCGGCGGGGGCCGATGGATTCCCGGCCGAGCTATCCAAACACGGCGGTGGAGAACTGATAAGGAGCATGCATTAGCTTCTTTGTAAAACATGGTCGGACGAAAGCATGCCCAACGATTGGAATTTAAGTGTGCTATGCCCAATCCACAAAAAAGGAGACCCCACAATCTGCGCCAACTACCGTGGGATAAGCCTCCCCAACACTGCATATAAGGTTCTATCGAGCCTATTGTGTGAAAGATTAAAGCCCACCGTCAACAAACTGATTGGACTTTATCTGTGGGGCTTTAGACCTGGAAAATAATTCACCATGCGCCAAATCTTGGAAAAGACCCGTGAAATCAGAATCGACACTCACCACCTCTTCGTCGATTTCAAAGCTGCATTCGACAGCACGAAAAGGAGCTGCCTTTATGCCGCGATGTCTGAATTTGGTATCCCCGCAAAACTAATGCAGCTGTGTAAACTGATGTTGAGCAACACCAAAAGCTCCGTCAGAATCGGGAAGGGCCTTTCCGAGCCGTTCGATACCAAACGAGGTTTCAGACAAGGCGACTTCCTATCGTGCAACTTCTTCAACCTGTTTGTGGAGAAAATAATTCGAGTTGCAGAACTAAACAGAAAAGGTACAATCTTCTATAAGAGTGCTGCTGGCATATGCCGATGATATTGATATCATCGGCCTCAACACCCGCGCCGTTAGTTCTGCTTTCTCCAGACTGGACAAGGAAGCAAAACAAATGGGTCTGGCAGTGAACGAGATCAAAACGAAATATCTCCTGTCATCAAACAAACAGTCGTCGCACTCGAGACTAGGCGCTCACGTCACTGTTGACAGTCATAGCTTTGAAGTTGTAGATAATTTCGTCTATCTTGGAACCAGCGTAAACATCACCAACAATGCCAGCCTAGAAGTCCAACGCAGGATAACTCTTGCCAACAGGTGCTACTTTGGACTGAGTAGGCAATTGAGAAGCAAAGTCCTCTCTCGACGAACAAAAACCAAACTCTATAGTCACTCATAATTCCTGGCCTGCTATATGGTGCAGAGGCTTGGACGATGACAACAACTGATGAGTCAACGTAGCGAGTTTTCGAGAGAAAAGTTCTGCGAAAGATTTATGGTCCTTTGCGCGTTGGCAACGGAGAATATCGCATTCGATGGAACGATGAGCGGTACGAGGTATACTAAATGACGATATTGACATAGATCAGCGAATTTAAAGACAGCGGCTACGCTGGCTAGGTCATGTTGTCCGAAGGGACGAAAACACTCCAGCTCTGAAAGTATTCGACGCTGCACCCGCCGGTTGAAATAGAGGAAGAGGAAGACCTCCACTCCGTTGGAAGGACTAGGTGGAGAAGGACCTGGCAACGCTTGGAATATCCAATTGACGCCACGTAGCGAAAAGAAGAAACGACTGGCGCGCTGTTGTTAACTCGGCTATAATCGCGTAAGCGGTGACTACGCCAATTAGGAAGAAGAAGAAACAGTAATCCATGCCAAATTTCGTGAAGATACCACGTCAAATGCAAAAGTTTTCCATACAAAAACTTGATTTCGATCATTCAATTTGCATGGAAGCTATATGCTATAGTTAACTGATCTGAACAATTTCTTCGGAGATTACATTGTTGCCTTAGAAAATAATCTATACCAAATTTCGTGAATATATCCTGTCAAATGTGGAAGTTTTCCTTACAAGATCTTGATTCCGATTGTTCAGTTTGTATGGCAGCTATGTGTTATAGTGGTACGATATCTTCAGTTCCGACAAATGAGCAGCTGCTTGAAGAGAAAATGACGTTTGCTAAATTTCAAAACGATATCTTAAAAACTGAGTGACTAATTCGTATATATACAAACAGACGGACAGACAGACGAACATGGCTAAATCGACTCAGCTCGACATGCTGATCATTTATATATACTTTATAGGGTCTCCGACCCTTCCTTCTGGGTGTTACAAACTTCGTGACAAACTTAATATACCCTGTTCAGGGTATAATAATTTTAAACATATATACAAATGTCATTTAACAACATTTTATACCATAAACAATAGTGTTTACAAAACCAAATAATTGAATTTATTTATCTCTTGCTAAAACAATATTATCTAATAGTTTTGTACAATTAAAACTAAATTAGTGAAGTATGGGCACTTACTCGTACATAAAAATAGGAAATTACGTAGCTACATATAACTTAGCTATGATGTCAGGCGGTGATACACTTTTGGTACTATATAGAAAAATATAAATCTTAATAGCATATATAGGACAAATAAACCGAAAATGCAACCGATAATGATGGTGGTCCATTCCAATGGGCTAAAATTACTTGTCACCGGCAATACGTGTGTGTTGAGGCCAAGCTGCAAATTGAAGAAAATAAAGAAATTATTAAAAGCATTAGTGTTGTATAAAGATAATATAAGTAGCATAATGTTTCATTGAATATTGATGGGTGGAAGATGGCGATCTATATATGACCGATATATAAACAAACCCCAACAGTTGTCTATTGCTGATCATAGCTAAATTCCATATATTGGCTTGGCATAAAAACTGTGATCTGAATATTTACGAAAGGTAAATTAAAGCTTTATTAAAAAATCATTATATTTGCATAAAATTATAATACTTATATACATACTCTTGTGTTTAACAACTTCTTGCTATTTTAAAGACAATTTTGTTATGTGACTCTCATTGAAATTCAAGTCTGCATTGGTAAAAAACTGGGAATCATACAGCAGAAGACATATATTCATAGGTAGCTGCTCCCAACCACGCTGATGTGAATGGACTGGCGTCGAACATAATTTCTCTCAGATTCAGAACGGTCTAATTGTTGATAGTGCAGTTTCGAAGTTTTTTTGTACGAAATGGCATCTTTACATATATATATAGCGCAACACATTCAAACTTCTACAAAACGAGAGACAGCGAAGAAATAACGTGTGCGAAATTTCAGACCAAATCTCAAAACATGAGAGATCGCATATATAGGCAGGCGGACATACACGCAATGAACGAAATTAAAACTAAATCCGATTCCAACTCATTAAATATTCTTCAAGTGAATTCATTTGTGAAACAAACAGGTAAACGGTTCTAATCGACCTTTAGTTTAAAAGAATCAACTAAAACTACTGGTTTGAAGCTTTCTTAAAGAATTTAAACGGTAGACGTATTAAATAATATGAAGCACTTACCCAACCGCCATTTTCATTGATCCACGACACTAATTCATCTTCAATCACCTCGGACACACCATCAATCAATTTAGGTACATATTCCGGATGACCTTGACGCACGAAATCTACGGAAAGTCCGCCGGCAATTGCAAATAGGGATATAACTTTGCTCCATGTGATTTCAGAACGAAACAGATCACGACCTACGGCACCTAACAGCAATGTAATCGTTTCGGCTGAATGAAATTCACCGCTTGGTGCACGACAAATTTGCCTTGCAACACCTGTGTAGATACGCGGGTGCATGCGCTCTAGCTCGTCACCGAGCTTTCAAAGGAAACATGTGAGGTGTATAAAAGCAAAGTATATCAATAGAATCCACTTACCACCATCACAGCTGGGAATACCTCTCGCACTATCTCCATCGAAGGAGTGCCGAGTACACTACGTATGCGTTGAAAGCCCAACTTTTTATTGAACAACCCAGAACGACGCAGGCGTCTTCGTATGTACTGACCGCATATGCAACGTCCCTAGGTAAATTTTGAAACTTTATTTTTTAGTGAAAACTTTTACGGGCCTATGTGGTTTAATATACATACCTGTGATATGATATCCTGTGTGGGTATTTGCGTTGCCTTCCAGCCGATCGTGTAGGACAATTTTCTTGTGACAACATCGCTCACATTGCTCAGGCGTCGACGTGTTATATTCTGATTCACCTCCAATAAAGAGGTAGAGCTTAATGTTGCGGGAAAACTAAATTTACGTCGATTCTGCGCCTGCAGCAGCCGTTCTCCATGCGAGGGAAAGCCAAAGTTATCATTGTTCATGTTTTATGCTGCAAGGAAAAAATACCAATTTGTAAATAAATTTTAAAGAGCTTTTTTTTAAATTTAGGATATGTTTTTTCTACCTCTGACCCGCCAACCCGTTGTTTGTTGATTTCCAAACAGTCACTTATAGTCACAGGCGGTTATCAACCACAGATCATAGACTTAACGAAACCTAACAAAAATGTTCTAAAGGAAAAGAATGTGTAGCCAGCTAAAATTATCAGATCACTAAAGAGTAGCTGGCATACAAATAAATAATATGGCAGTTTACAAGTTGTACACTTTCTTGCTTCATAGGAGAAACATAATTATTTCTGTAGCGCCGACAGTCCATTGTACCTGTTTCAATGTATCCTTTCAATTGGTTGATTTTTATTTTCATTTTTTATAAACTTACAAAGGCGTACGGAGCTTAGCCTCACCAATCGATGTTGCCAATATCGCAAGAAAAATTTTCTTATTGTGTCCTCCTCCTTCTAGAGGTCTTCTTAGATTTGTTTGTTACTACATGTAGAAGCGGGCGTGTTGTTCGGGGACTTTATAAAAATACGACAAAATCGACTACCTGCTATTGACAGGCCACTGATCGAAGGTGCGCGCGGAAGCTAAGACAGTAATTTAGATATCTCAAAACAACTAACATAAAATATTAGACATAGCAAAGCCTTTAGCGCGTTGAGTGCCGTGTTCCGCGATCTATGCTCCAGAAAATATGTGAAAACGTGACACCATATCACAGTAGTGTTTGAAGATGTTTACTTGCAATTTGAAACTTTTACTCGTCGTTGCGTAACTGTTGTTGAAACAAGGAACAGTGGACTTCACACAACGACGAAGGTAAGATTGCCCTGTCGGACGAAAAGGTGATTGAACCAGTTTTTTGGGACTCTAATCTATACCACCATTGAATACTTCATTTGCAGAATAAAATAGTACTCTTCCACAATGACAACACACCTGCTAAACCGCCGCTTCTTTTGCAGATCTCCAGAAAACGTTAGTGGTCAATTGTAACCACTTGAAAGTATCCATAATTTGTTGGTTACTTACAATTCAATACGTATTGCACCACCCTCGTACATATTTATTGCCGTAATGACATTATTACGTTGACATACGTTAGACGCTAAAAAAACGCAAACGCACGCACTAATGTCAGACGACAAGTGCCGCAAAAGAAATCCGAAAGACAAGTTGCTTTCTTGTTGAGCACACTTGACAAGAGGATAGGAGGTGATGTCATTAAAAATGATACATTGCGAAATTATGAAACTAATGCTAAATAATCATAAATACAACTAATGAATGTAAAAAACCAATATCATTAAGTGCTGTTTGCCGATTACCATTGTTGTTGTGATTGAAATGCATAGCGCATACCCTGACCGGATGCCTGAGATGTACAAGTCGCTGTGGCGCCCATTTATGGTGACGCAATTCGAGGATTTATCGTGCATTGATTGGTAAAGACGAAAATGGACAACAAATGAATGTTGGTCGGTTGTTGTGGTGCGCGTGCGGCACAGCTGGTGGCATGCAACAGTATCTATGAAAACTATAATAATGACATGACCAAAGCATTATTGTTGCCTACTATTGGCGGATATAGTTGCACATTTACATTTGAATGTGTATGTGTGTGTGCAGCATACCAATTTAGTAACATGTTTGCTCTTTATCAACCTCCGTCCGGAGCATCACTTCCAGCCAGCCACTTTAGCCTTAAACAGCGCTCTGTGCTGCTAGCTCACAAGAGAGCTGTCATTAATGTGTAGTTGTCACTGTAAACGAGATGTCAACGCAAAAGTGATTTGTTTGGTATGCTGCAGTGCCAAATTAAATTATAAAAATTCGTAAATCTTTCAAACACTCGCCAATTTGTATAAGCGAATTCGTGCAAGCATCTTCCAAGTTTTTACTTTGTTAATTAAATACCTTCAGGATTGAAAAAAATAAAGACAAATATGTATGTAACTACATAGTACATACTTACTGAGATCAAATTGAAAGGTGAATTTCTCTATTTCATCTCCTCCAAAGTATTCCTCTCCCGCTGCAATACACTTACGCCAACGGATTTTATAGTCATCATAAAATTTGGAAAAAGCCTCCATCGGAATGGCTATCAGAGCCTTTTTTTCTATTTAGCTTTTATATCAATTGAGTCAGAAGTTACACGAAGTTGCATTATCGAACTGCTTTTTTCAATAAATTAAGACATAGAAAAAATCGAAGAATTCACTTACAGAGCCTTAAAAAACGACGCGTATCTCAAACACTAATGAATGTGAAATTTAGGATAGATGTCAGTAATAGTACTACCGACGTACAGAAAAACAAATTTACCGATTCAAAAAACACGCGAAGTATAAATTAAAAATTCACCTATCAATTTGATCACAGTAGTATATATCTATATGCCAATTCAAATATATTTTTCTTGAATCACATAAGGAGTAAAGTGAAGAATTATAATAGTTTAGTGAGTAGGTAGAGCTAGATTGGTTATTAAGTCAAGAAGGTAGGACAGTTTTATACCAGTTCTTTGTAACACCAAAAACCTCCTAAAGATGACGCCTCTAGCTCGTTCGCCCGGTTGACTACAGGTATGGGATGCGTGGATTTCAACCTTCACCTTGCGAAAGTTATATAAAAGTATCGGGATTACAAAATCCAACTCGTGCAAGAATTGACGCCGAAAGAACATCAAGCGCGACGCTCGTTCGGTGAATGGGTCTAAAACGAAATAGCCACCGATCCCGAGTTTCACAAAAACATTTATGTAGTTTAGCGATGAAGCAAACTTTTGGTTGAATGGGAATGTTAATAAACAAAATTGTCATTTTTGAGTGATAATCTAAAAGCCGTTATTGAGAAGCCGTCACATTCTGAAATCGGTAATAATATTAAAGTGGCGAATTTTATTGAACCATCATTAGTGACGTGCCTGAATTGGAGAGTGTTGATGTTGACGACGTTTGGTTCCAAAAAGACGGCGCTACAACTAAAGCTGAATTCTTCACAAATACTTTAAGTTATATGTGCTTTACTTCTTCTTGAAGCCCATATGTCTAACAAACACCCTTAAATGTCATACGCTGCTTAGATGTAATACAATTGTCTCGTCTCTTTAACAAAAACCCAATCCAATATTCTTCTTCTTGATTGGCGTAGACACCGCTTACGCGATTATAGCCGAGTTAACAACAGCGCGCCAGTCGTTTCTTCTTTTCGCTACGTGGCGCCAATTAGATATTCCAAGTGAAGCCAGGTCCTTCTCCACTTGGTCCTTCCAACGGAGTGGAGGTCTTCCTCTTCCTCTGCTTCCCCCGGCGGGTACTGCGTCGAATACTTTCAGAGCTGGAGCGTTTTCGTCCATCCGGACAACATGACCTAGCCAGCGTAACCGCTGTCTTTTATTATTACTCCCAACAATGTTCAATATGTTTGAAACAACAAAATAATTACAGCAAACTGAAATTTTTTCGCGTGTTCATTGTTTTCTACTTTATTCTCTCAGAAGCGACTACTAATCCATGGAGAAATTGAAATCAGTGTCATACTAACCTCTCTCAACAATTAACGGTACTCCAAACATTTCTTATTGTCGGGTAAGGAAAATCGTGTCGAAAGAAAGCGCAATAAAATGCGGTGAACTCTTACGAAAACGCTTTTTCAGAAAAGATGCGCCTACGCCGTGTAACACGAGAAACGTGCGTACAGCGCACCACAACACATCTACTGCAGTGTTGCTCATTTACGGCTGTTTCATTCTCAATCATGCGACCAATGCGTTAATCGCAAATGAAAGTAAATTTGTACATGCGACAAAAAGAATTGTTGACAATATGCAAAATCAAAACAAAAATCGTGGTTTGGAAATAATGTTAATTTGGAATTTCGATTTGTGTATAAAAACCAGCGATGGTGTGAAAAGGTCATTAGTTTACCAAAAGTCAAAATACCGAAATGACTTCCAATCTTAGCCAAATCGCGCTTGCGCTTTTCTTTTGTGTCCTCGTCGAAGCGGACATTTCACATTTCTTCGCAGACAACTATGGCTACTATTCGCAGCAACAACCCGCCGTGCCTAGTTTATATCCAGTACCACCAGCGCTGTCGCCCTCACAAGTGGGCGACGCATTTCCCACGTCCGCTCCAGCTTCACCGCCACAATCAACAAATTCACCCGTTGCGCCAGTGCGACCGTCCTCCACTACCGAGTTGACGCTGCCCGAGATTGTAGAGAACCGTGTCGCCAAGAGTGGTGGCAGAATTAATTTTATTCCATTGCAAAATCAGTATTTGACACCTGAAGAAGGTCGTCCAAACTTTGAGGCATCGAAGCGACCGCCTAGTTTTGGGTAAGTGAGTTCGCAGTTACTAGAAACTAGACTCGAAAGTATTTGAAGTATTTAAAACAAGTGATTTTCGAAAAGAGCGAGAGCAGGCGTTGATAACTAATGTTTTATACGCCGTTTTATATTGATTGAATCAGTTTTGATCCTGACTTCTATGAACTTAGTCAGTGTGGTTGTTACAAAAACAAATTAAACTTTGTTAATTGTTAAATAGAAAGTTTACTTAAGTCTTCTAGTAACAGCTCTATACAAATATTTATTCGTAACACGAAATATTTGTATCCACTGCATCAATCAGTCTTATATTATCAAAAACTATTTCGCTTATATCGGTAAAAGAAAAGCAGTTTCAATGGTCGGGACTATCCCACAAAAGATCGAAGTCGTCACCCGATGGGTGGGTTAAACTAAGACTGAACTATCAACGGAAACGAATCACACATCAGAAATAGAACGATAAGCTCGTCAAATAATCTACCAAATATATATATCATATAATATAGGCTTTTTGTGGATGATATGTTCAATAAGCTCCTATGGACGTTTTGGGATGTCGGCTATATCGATTAACTACATTTAATGGAAGGTTTAGGGGGTTTCTCCGTTAACAGTATTTTTTGACGTCTATTAAAGTCATAAAGGTA